TTGTATTGTAAGTTGTGTGTTACACGTTTCATTACAATAAGAAAGCTGCATTGAATCATCCATTTATCAGGGTAGCGTACTGTTGTTCTTTTAAGGAAAAAGGGTCACAGTTGTTTTTGTATATGGGCCAAATGAATTTAAAAAAAAAAATTGGTTTTGGACATTTGAAAAGATAGAATTTCCAAATTAACGTGTCATCCCTTTTCAGTATTGTCCAATACTCGTAAACAAAAGATTTATTTGTGTCAATATATCGAAACAAAGTTCAAAATTGCCCATATATTGGTCTTGTCAGGATATAAGGTATATAATATATATATAATAATACAACAGGAATAATTGATTRCCTGTAAATATTTTTTAGAGCAAATAACAAATATAGGAAAACAAAATATATCATATTACCTATGTAACATAAATCGTAAATAAAATAAAATAATAATAATAAAATCGTATTAGTCAAATGTTTAAAAACATTTGTGTTTATTTCAATTCAATTTTTTATAAAACTTATTCTAATTAACGATGAAATCTGATTTCGAATTTTAATTTAGGCTGTAAAAAAGTTATTTGGTTTTTTTTATTTCATAATTTAACTTTGGAAATTTTACGTTTTAGCGTTTCACCACGTATAAGACTTGTATTATATTTGGAATTTTTTTCACTAATAAATTACAGTTTTTTTGCACCATTAATCTTTTGAATGTTATGCTATAATATATTTTAACGTCACACACAATTATTTTTATTATAATAAAAACATTTTGATTGCTTCAAACTCTCAACGTTACCTCAAAACAATTACTCTAACAGTCTAACCCCTGTCATAGCTTCACGTGTCCTTTAATATTACACAGGTATTAAATATTTAATCCATCGGATAAGCATTGTACGCGTGTCTACAAGTAAGCAATTATTGTGGTAAATCGAATAAGGGCCACATATCAACCTATTCTATTATGATTTGTCACACCTTAACAACTTTACATTTCTAAAATCCTTTGTTACACTGTAATCTCCAGTAACTTACTACAGTCACATACTCAAATAAACGACCAATCAATACCTAATGGTACTCGTATTACTGCCGTCCTTTGCGTCCTGGCAAAAGACCATACTATATCACCTACAAATTACTTTTCAGTMTTTGCAGGTACTGTGATCTGGCACTACTGAGCCGTCGGCTTACTGTGGCTTTTCCACCATTACGAATAGTTCGAAAGACATAATAATGACTTTACAAACAATCTTACTTCGTGTTTTGTTCAATTCGTATTTTCTGCACGCTACAACAAGAAATTATAATTTTTGTATTCACCAAATGGTTTTAGATTTTCCTCATCACTCCATTTGGAAAAATAATAATAACATAACGTTTCTGTGTCGGGCCAGGATTTTATTAAACTTTTACTTATTTCAATAGTAAGTACACCGTTCTCTTACAATAATTTTAACTGTAGTTTATTGATATAATATTATTGTGATTTATGACAAAAGTACTGTAATGATCAATATAAAATCACTGCATATAATGTATTCTGCACACATATTATCAACATAAGACAGAACAGATCGTGCGTGGACACTATAGTGCAATGTCTATAGTAATGGCGGCGGCGATCGCGTGAGTACAAATACCTCAAAATCGCATTTGATACCACGACAGCGTTATTTTTGTTTAAAAAAAAAAAATTCGGACACGTTGTGATAATAAATCGCGAATACCCAGAAGTCAGTTTCGTCGTTACTTAAAAAAAAAAAAAAAAACTATACCCATCTTTTTCCATTTAATTCCGGTCGGATAATGTTTTCATTCCTAACATGTCCTTTTACCCGCTAACCCACAACCTATAAGCGACAATGGTCGTACCCACCCTAACCGTTATTGTAGTCAGTTCGTGTCGAGTGTCTTTTGGCCCACGTATTCGTAAAAATCTCATTAATATAATGCGAATCTAACCTAACCGGTAACTCAGACTAAGGTGTTTGGGTGATTATTTACTCAAAAAGACTACGACGAGAGACGTATTTTAAAGACACCACCGTGCTCCGACCAGTCGGTGGTCGTTTGTCTATGTCGTCGACACCCATCACCGAACTCCTCGAAACGTTCGTTTCCGTCATCCACTCCACTTCGTTGTAGGCGGTTCAATTGGCACCCGAAATAAATATGCATTTTTTATAGTTCTACGACGGACCGACGCSACGACGCACGCCACGACCGTTTATACAMTATATATACCCATGTCCCATATAATATATTAACGGTCGCCACGATATTTTATTTTAACGGTTCGCTGACGCAGTGTAGGTACCTATATACTGACAGAGGATTTTTTTTCACAATTTAACCATGTTATACCGCTTTGTTTGTACTATGGGGGAAATTTTACTCAAAAATTAATTAAAACAACAAAGCATTGTACACAAAATATTATGGAAGTTTCAGAGAAATACAATCACCTATAGAATTGAAAAAAATTGCTTCTGCTGTAGAGCGGRTTGTCCACAGCCCTTAAAAAATTAATAATATTTCAAACCGAGGAGATAAAATTATTGCTAAAAATTACTTAAACTATCGAAAATTATTATAGTTTTTAATGTTTTCTGGAAATATATTTAAAGTTAAAAATTTACGACCATTAAATTTTTTTTTATCGTTTATTTAAATATACACAATATGTTAATGTTGTTTTACAATAAGTGCACTTATATCGAGGTGACATGGCTTGAGTGTATGGAGATAAGAAGCCACCCATTGGAGGCACTTAAGGTTAGGATTTTAGGCTAGGATTTTAATTTGTTAGTAAGAGAGGGCGGGATTACAAAATTAAGGGAAGGTACAATTAAATTAAGGGGTATATACAATTTTAGATTAGTAAGTCACGACACCAGGTACGTTTTAGACGCCTTCTGGGGTCACCAGGAATAGCGTTGGTAGATAGCTMGGAAATCAGGGGATTACGATGGCTGTGGAACTTGGAGTGTGTGCGTTTGTAAAAAGTTTTCGCGACGTTTTGGACTGTTGGAATGGCTATATCCTTATGTAGAGTTTCGTTTGATACATAGTAGGGAGCTTTAGTTATTTGACGGAGACATTTAGATTGGAAGATTTGAATTTTGTTTAAGTTGGACTTTTTGGCTGCACCCCAGTGTTGGATACCGTATGTCCAGATCGGTTTGAGTAGGAGTTTGTATAATAGTAGCTTGWTTTTTAAGTTGATGTGTTGTGATGTGAGGAGAAAACGTAATTGGCGAGAGCGATTATTTAAGGTGAGTCTTTTGTTGTGGGTGTAAGTTGCCCAAGTTAACCTGTGGTCTAAATGTAGACCTAGGTTTCGGACATTTTGGGTGGTTGGAAGAGGTACATTGTTGAGGTAGATGGGAGGGCAGACTATTTGCCTTAGTGTGAACGTACAATGGATGGATTTTGTTTCGTTGATTTTTATTCCCCAATCTTTATACCAGGTTGATAAGAGATTGAGATGGTTTTGTACGAGGTTAGAGGCTATTTCGGGGTCAGAATGGATCGCTAGAAGCGCCTTGTCGTCGGCAAAGTCACCGGTTGTAATGTTAGGGGTGGTAGGTTGATCTGAGGTGAATAAATTGAAGAGTAGAGGTGCTGTTACAGATCCTTGAGGTACCCCTGCGTGGATTGGTGATACTTTGAACAAGGAGAAGCCAAATCGGACGGCAAAATGTGTTTTCTAAATAGGATTTAAATAATAGAAAATRGTATGGCGGAAGAATAGATTTTAGTTTGAAGAGAAGGCCTTCATGCCATACTCTGTCGAATGCCTGTGATACGTCGAGGAAGGCAGCTGTGCAAATAAGCTTTTTTTTCACGACCATAAAATTTAAATTAAATTTAAATATTTATTTGCGTGTAATACAAAATGAATGTACCTATACATATAAATAACATGTATAAATTATTTATAATAATGTTTACCTTTCCGGTTGTATGCATTGATAATTTTTCAACTTTACCCGAGAGATTTAAATATTAATAATTATTTCTTTATTGTTGATTTGTTTGACATAAGCAAAAGAATTTTTTAATTATCAATGTTCGATTTAAAAAAATGAATGATAATAATGTTGCTGTGTTTGATAAAATATCTGATACAATACATTAATAGTATTTTGTGTTTATGACGAGTTCTGATGCTTGAATATTAATTATCAAAATTCTGTTTTGTCATTGTGAGCATGATGAAAAAAAATGATTTAAATTGCGATGAACAGAATTGATAATTATAGCGTTGAATTTTCTTTAATTGAATCAATATTCAGTAATCACACTAAATCAGTTTAATTGAATCTGAATTTATCGATTTAATAGATGACTGTGCATTATATACACATACACACACGTTTAATTATATATATGACATGATTTATTTGAATGTACTAACATGTATTCGGTTTTAGAATTCGGGTACCTTCCATCTGGCCAGAGCATGTAACACGCTCTTCTTAGTTCTCCATTCATGTACCTAAAACAGGTCACAAAAATATAGGTATTATAAAAAAACATAGAAAAAATAGTGAACGAAAAATGTTAATTTTATAAAATATGGACATGTACGATATTTTTTTGGAGATACATAATGTCAATTCCAGATTAAAGTTTAGACCAGGTAGGCACGTGCCTAGGATTAGATAATAGTGACCATCTGAGGAGGAGCTTTTTTTGTTTTTACAAATGAGCTTTAAAAAATGTTCCTGGGCTATATTTGATCTTATTCGGCACTTCATAATGTAATAATTGAATAGAACTTTTATTGTACCTACTTTTTATCTATATTTTTTGGAACGCAATAAAATATCAAAAATAACTAATAATTATTTGGACTTATTCCGGATAATAGATTTATAATAAGAGTTGTTATGTAAAATTTTACTTAAATATCAGATTGATGATGATGAGAACTCCCTCTCTCAGCACAAGTTTTACTTTCAAGGAGTGCTGCAATATGTAACCTATGGTATTTGATGTCATTATTTTCATATTATCTATGCTGTTATTGCAATAAAGTTCAAGGTTCTTTTTATTATGGTACCTATCTAAATATCGGTAATATATTTATGTAAAGACAAAGGTAGTTTCAAAAATAAAAAATAATTTTTATTTATTGGAACCTCAATATATTCCACTCAAAGTGTATGGTTTGTRTATATAAACTATTTTGAAATTCTTATATATACTTAAAATATTAAATCTATAGTAATATTTAAGGAATCTAAAAGCAGTAAGGACACTTTGAATAAGTTTCTAGATTTCAAAATAGTGATACTATGAACTACGAATAATGATTAAATATCATTTTCGTTATAATTTATAAAAATTATACATTAACATATGTATAATTTAATTTTATAAATATCATTATATTATGCCAAGTATATATCATACAAACTAAAAATATGATATGTATACATAAAATAAGTTGTGTATAATGTGTTAAATATATTAAAATTAAATTCAAACCTTTTTGTCTTAAGGTCAGAATATAAAATGCACGGCATCGCTAGAAATACACTGATTAGCCAAATGAGAATAAGCACTGTTTGAGTTCTCGTCTTTGATCTCCTATGCCGAAGTGGATGCACAATGGCCATGTACCTGATAAAAAGATTATTTACATTTTAGTATCAAAAACCAAAATGTGTACAAATTAAAATAGTAGTATGTTATTTAAAAGAAGCTCTATCATYTAGTAAAATGATAAAGTGAAATATAAAACATTACATTATAGGCACCAAGATTTAAAAAAAAACCATTGTGAGCACACACATGCTCTAAGTGAAAAGTGTGTAAAAGAAATAGCAGAACACTTCTGTATACCCATGTATAAGTTACCGCTTCTGCGTGGCGTCTTACGCATGAATGGTAAACAATTTATACTTGTTTATATTTACTTTTTGTCCATTTTAGATAGATAATACGATAATATTTCAGAAAACTGATTTTAATTCGTAATACAGTCTTCTTGAGATCGATCGGACCACATTTTGAGACATCAGATTTAAATTCTGAATAATCAATGTTTGAAAATTCCAAAATTTTAAAATATTCAAACCAAATTAATAGTTGTAGGGGGATGAAATTGGGAGAAGAAGACTGACCGATTTCAAGTAGATATAATAAAAAATTTTATCAGCTTCAAAAAGTATTATCGCATTGCTAGGTCGATCAGTGTAATGGACAAAATATTGCTGTGTTTTGGTTAAAATAACAACCACCATCGACCCACTTAACAAAATTTGATTTTAATTTTTATGGAGCGCTCAACTTCCTATCCTTCCTCAARCAAATTTCAATAAGTGCTCTAGTATCCAGGCACCCATTTTCTTAGCACCTATGCATTATAGATATTTTATTACAAATAGCCTAAATTTAAAAGTAATACAATAAATTAATACATACATAGATGATTTATAAAAAAATGTTTTGACAGAAAATTTGAGCCACTTAAATTTATATTTAATGAGTGTAAAGTGTAAACATATCTAATCCAAAATATTCTCTTCATTTTTTTTCAAAGAATAATATAACAACATTTACCATKGCCAAAAAAGTTTTTTTTAATAATTATTTCTATTGATCTAAAATGTCTTAATTTTTAAAAACTTTCAAATCCAATATTTTAAAATACTGTCTAAACATTTACTGCAAGAATAAACGTCTTATGATGGTAAAACACTTGAGTAATTAGTGGTTTTTATGACAGGTTGTAAATTGAAGTCAAAATTCGTTAGCATTTGTACATTAACTGAACTTTATTAAACTTGGCAAACTCTTCGTATTGTTCAATGCACTTAAGTRTAAGATCATTAAAATGTATTGTTGATAAATAAATGAAAAATAATTGTTCGATTATTAAAGTATTATAAGATCGAAGATTTTGAAAAAAAAACAACTGTTTATTAATCCAATATTTAAAAGTATTAAGTATATTACTGCAAAATACAATAATGTAGAAAGTGAGGTTAATTTTAAGCTATCTTTTATTTATATAGTGTATAAAAACTACTAAATTGAATTAGAATAAAAACATATTTATTTATTTACATGTTGGTGGAGGCTTCCAAGACTCCAAGAATAAAACATGAATATCAGTGTCACAAGTTGATATTTAATAATAATACCAAAAAAAGTATGAAATAAATAATAATAAAACAAAAATGTAACACCAAACACTAAACATCATAATATGTTGAAATAATATGAAACAACCTACACACAGATTTAAAACAATGTACCTATAGAATTATTAGTTTATTACGTTTTTATAAAACATGTCAGTACTATATAGGTGGTTTTCAGTGTTTTTACAGTGGTAAAGTAGTGAATTTGGTTTATACCTACCTATATATGTATGCATTTGAGTACTTACTTAATATTACTTTATTATTATTATGGCGTATATGAATCTATAAATATGGCTTAATCTTATGAATTGCAATGTAAAAATTCGATGACACGACCAAAAAAGTAAACGCATATGGAAAATCCTATGAATAATATTATGTTGGATATTTGTGATGTATCGATTGTCATAGACTAGGGATGCCGAACCTTTCTGTTCCATAATGTCAAAAAATTTGATGACCCTTATTTTAAACTTAAAAAATTCCTACATCCATATGGCTTGAGTGATAAAAAAAACAAGTTTAGCGTRTCAATAAAAGAGCGTACTTGTGTAACAGGCTTGTTATCTCTGTTATTGGCTATTTTCTTACCAAACATTTATATAATATTTTTTGGATTTTCTAAACACACTAATTTATTATTTATCTTATATTGGTGGTTAAAAGGATAAACATCTGTCGAAAGTTGTGTACGTGATTCTTGAAGCCAACCACCAGTACCATYAATTTCCGAATATTTATTGTTGTTAACAAATACTCTTGATACCCTGTGGATGAATTTATTATTATTATTAATTTATTTATGAAAAGGAAATCGGGTAGAAAATTCAATAGAATTCCGGTGAGAAACATTTTTTGAAAGGATTTTTCTACTTGAGAAGGTATATAGTTCCGTGGTMGGTATACAGAGTCGGTTGCCTGACGTCACTTGTTCAATTGATGATCTAGCGTGTGTTGTCGAATAAGCATAATCATAAAGCTTAAAGTTATAGCGGGTCATAAAATGATAATAAGATTCTCAGAGGGGAAATAAATAAGGCTTATATGTATAACATATCATAACTACAATATCACCTACAATACAGATTTTGATCGTTGCTCTCCAATAAGTTATGACTTTTTCTTTAAAAGGTACGAAAATATGTATCCGACGATAACTTATAATGTTTTGATAAACTCAGAAAAATTTGCATTGTTTTATACTGATATAACTTATCGTAAGTACGGACTCGAGTGTAATCGATGTATTTTGGATTTTATTTCCTATATTTATA